GAACTATCTCCCTTTCTCTCTCTCTCTCTCTCTATATATATATATATATATATATATATATATAAGTATAAAAATGAACAAAGAAGTTAACACTTAGAGGCGACAGTCTGTTTCATGCTAGATGCTATCGTCTGGCCACGAGTGCAGTTATTTTTCTCGGCTATTTCGTAATAGCCGAGAAAAATAACATTACTCTATGTTCACTTTCGTATTTCCACACGCTCTATCCCGTACATTGAGCACTTTATCCCATAAATATAGCACATCTTAATATATATATATATATATATATATATATATATATATATATATATATATATATATATATATATATTTCTCGATAGCTATTTGTCTTTCAAACTCTCTATGTCTGCTGTCTGTCTATTCGTCTTCATTTCTGCTTGGTTGTCTTTCGCCGAGAGTATGGATACCTGCCGTGTTTTTTTGTCTTGTTCTTCTTATCCAGTTAGTCTTTATGTCTATCTGTATATATGTGTCGTCTTTCCGGTCTGTTTCCTCCGTCTAGTTTCTGTACATATGCTGTTCTTTTTTTGTCTTGATCTAGCAAACTATCTAAGATTTCCTGACTTAGTGTCTATCTGTTTATCTAAATGTCTGACATGAATATTTATTATCAGCCCTCACTAATTCTATTATCTTGCGTGCGGTAATTGATTCAAATATCGATTTCTACAAAATCGTCACCTTCTTGGACTTTTAGGCTTTATCGACTTCATGTTTCAAGCCGCATCCGATGAAATATAATCAAGAAAAATATGCAAATGTGATGTTAATGTTCAGAATAGTTTAACTCTTAGAGCAAATCGGTTTCAAATGAATATTTATTAGATCGGACTATCTTTGTTGCAATATCTTATTTCATGCAACAGATTCTCTTCCAGTCAATCGGTTGGTGAAGAAGAAAGGTAATGATGTTTTTTTTTTGTTTTTTTTTAAAGAAAGCTTCTGATTTCATGTCAACATTCATATCTTACATATCTATAAGTCTACCATTCGTCCATTGATTAGAATATTGCTGGGACATATGGCCCGGTGTCCATGCTATTTAACTTCATGTCCTTGATAACACCCAAATAACAAGCAATACTATTGATCGGACAAGCATTTCCCGCCAACGCAAGTTTGCCTCATTGTGTCTTTTCCAAAAGTAGTTTCTTGGGAATTGTTCGGCTGAACTCTTCGCTATGGAATAGAGACAGTGAGGTATTATGGTGATTGTAGTAAGAAAGTTACGTAAGAATGTGTTGTTTTGTTGTAAGGAATATTGTTTGCATGATTGGGTCAGTGTTTGTAGCTAGCTAATTTTAAAGTTAAGACCGAAGATGACCGTCGTTTTCCCCCATTTCCTATTTTGGCCTTGTTCCACATTTCTGTACATAGCAGAAATAAATATCGCTCTTCGGTATGGAATTTTTTTTGTCCCCCCAGATAATGAATTGTACATATAGGGACTAGTTAGGACTTTCATAGAAACATTGCGTGGATGTTGAAAGATAGGTAAGAATGCGTTATTTTGGTTTAAGGAATAGTGTCGTGTGTTTGGATAGAGTGATTATGTCTAGGTAAGTTTAATGTTAAGACGGATGAAGACTATCCCATTTTTCCTATCCACTCTTTGACCTTCTGACACATTTTCTGTACTTAACGGAAATAAATATGCTCTTCGTTATGGTACCTATTTTTTTTTAATTTAAACATTGTACTAATCTGGCATCTAGATATCATTAATTTACAGTTCAGCCATAATTTCTATGCTAACAGTGCCTTTTCTCACACTTCTCGCTTGTGGAACTCCTTTCCAGCTCCATGCTTTCCAGTCAACTTTAATCTGCAAAAAAATTAAATGCAGTGTTAATTGCTGTCTACTTTGGTTTCGTTAGGTTTTTTTTTTTTTTTTTTTTTTTTTTGTTTTATTTACGGCATATCAAACTCAATGGGTTTAATGCCGACAACGTTTTTCCTGGTAATATTTTTGTTTTGTCAAAAATCTATTTCTGGTAATATTTTTTTACAATGCATTTCTGGTATTAAAACCTATTTTTAAACTTTCAAAATGCTTTCTACCTCAGTTTCAGAGTTAACTATGCCCATAGTTGGGACCCTAACAGGTGCTACCGGGTCAGGGAACACCAGCAATTAAAAGGTGGTCCCACGCTCCTGAAAACCTCCTGATCAGATGCCTAGCTGTTCGACGTAGTTTATCGTCTTACCCAGGAAGCTAATGTAGTTTATCGTCATATCGAGGACGGAATCGCTGACTACTCTCCTGATTACTATTTTCTCTTACCGCTTATTATAAATATTTATGTCCTTATTTCTTACACACCCTGTAGCCCCTTGTGTTTTGGTCGCATTACTGCTTCGCATCGCTTGATACAGACTGAAAACAATATATTTACATCTACGTTTCTCTCAGTTATCTGTATGCTAGTAAAAATACTCATTAAACACAATTGTATTAAATATATTTATAGGTTGTGAATTAAATGATATAATATATTTTAAAGAAAAGACGTTCCATGGCCAAATTAATTTCACTCATATTACATTTGTAATTTCAGCTCTGACGTCAGAAATTTGATAATTAGAAAACTATATCCGTTTACATTGTTTATCGTTTCCTGTCTGATTTTTTGTAGCTGTTAGAGAAAATAATTATCTCGTTGAATACAACTGTTTATACTTCAATTCGGCATATCAACACATCAATGGGTTATTTAATGTCGACAATATTTTTAGGAGAGGCTCGTATGAATAGAATATAATAAATCAGTTTGTAGTTCAGGTTTTATTTTACGTAAGAGGGATTTTTTATCGAGAGACACCTGTATTGCTAGGCATTATATTTTTTTTAGATTGCTGGTATTATTTTTTTTTTCATAAATGCACTGCTGGTATTTTTACTAAAAAAAAACTCTAAGTTTACGCTTTCATACTGATTTGACCCCAGTTTGGGGGAAATCTTTTTAACAGATGCTACCCCCTCGGTTCTGGGTTCGGAACAACAGCAATCAAGTGCTAGTTTTACACTCCTGCAAACCACCAGACCAGAATTCAAGCTGATTGATGTAGTTTACTGTCATACCCAGGACAATCTTCAATTCGGATCCACTGTTGACAAACATTCTGCTTACGTGCACGTCCCGTTGGAACAAATAATCCTGTACAATCAGGGAAGGTAAGCAATGTCGATCCTGTTCTCTGCCTAGATTGGTCATCTTTTTGGAATACCAGGGTCTACAAACTCGATCGTGTGGGTGATAAATGCTCGGAATTTTTTTTATCCTAAGAGCCGAGTTCTTGTTTCTGTTGGTTTCGATATGAGCAAATATCCTCGTTAAAGATATGAATCAGCCTTTTCTCTACAAATGTTTAAGTCTTGCAACAGTAAACCATTATTATCTCAAAATCAAATTATTAAAAGCTAATCATTAAATAACCTGCAAAGAGATGATAAGCCGTAGAAAACGAATCAATCAATATGTCACTGACCAAATCATCTAAGACTGCCTGCATTTCCATAAAAAATTCTCGTAATTTTTCTCTTTATTATGAGCAGGGCTGATTCCACTTCAGTTATTAATATTTCTATTCCATCGACATCTCTGTGTAATTCTGGTCGCCCTCTGTCGTCGTTTCAGTGCCGAGTTCAAGAGATCATCGTAAACTTTGCCCTCACAAAATTGGCGGAAATCTCCACAAAAGGTATTGACGACAAACCTGTTGAGGTTAAATACGTCACTGCAAATAATAATGAATATTTAATAGATTAAAATGTAATTGTACTTATTTTTTGAACAATAAATTTGATTTACGAAAATATTTTTTTAAAAGGGAAATTAAGTAAGAATCAAACAATGCTATATGCAGTAATAAATATATATATATATATATATATATATATATATATATATATATATATATCAAATCTGTTCAACTCGTTTTGTATTCTTATATTTTATAAAGATAGGGTTAGTGCCTGATACAATATTCCTTTCTGTTGTTTTACTGTAAGATTGACAGGAAACAAGGATTAAATCAATTACTTAAATGATACCATGCAAATAAAAAAATCTTTTAAGCTTCCGAAAACTCTTCCTGCACAAATGGACTACTGGAAAAGTGCTTCTTGAAGATAATGTTTATTAAATTATCTACTTCGTACATCTGGAAGTTTTCTTTCATTAAAACAAAACCGAAAACCTTTTTTTTTCTTTTTAACATGAAGATTTATTGGAGAATATCAATTAAAGGCGTCGATTTCTTTTACAATTGAAACTAAACGAAAACTTTCATTTTTCTTACTAAATAATTACATTTGTTGAATTTTACTCTTTCGCTAGAAAAAGCTCGCATACCGGAAATATATGAAAATGAACAAATATTAAATACTAAATATATAGTTTAATGCTTATATGATAAATTTCATATTGTATATGAAGACGTTATGAAAAGTCGTGTATATTGTTTCTGCATTGTTATTTTGTGTGCTCGGAGTTGAATGGTTAGTTTCTCATAAGACATTAAGGGTGGTGTGTACACCTTTCGACCGATTTTGTTAAATTCACTTTCGTACAAATAAACTTCGTCGGCGGATGAATCCATATCTTCTCCAAAACTGGGTACTTACAAGCAGGGCAATATGGACTCTCCTGCTTTCAGTTGAAAACCATTCCAGAATAATTAAAATGTTTAATGGAAATTCAGACTGAACAATGATGGAATTCGTCAGACTATGTTTGCCGGTCGTTGATCGTACAGGGTTCTTTGTTCAAATGCAAACAGTGGATCCCAATTGAAGATTATCCTGGGTATGGCGGTAAATTTCATCAAGCAGCTTGACTTCTGAAGAAATGGTTTGCAGGAGTGGGAAACAAGCTTTTGATTGCAGTATGCCATGTCTGCAGCGCATGTATTGTTCTACTACTTTAATTCCAAGAGTTCCGACCTGACTTAAAATTATTCATCAAATTGGCAAACTAGTTTAAGATAGATAGATAGATAGATAGATAGATAGATGCTTGAGACGGCACAATTAGAGAATCTTGACAATTATTATTATTATTTAATTATTTTACTTGCCAGCATTTCCTTTATTACCAATTCATTTCATATATTCGAGAGCAAGTGAAGAATGAGATTTTTGCTGTACCCAATTTCTTAAATAATAAAAACATCCAGCTATTAACAAGTAACTTAAACGGAAAAAAATATCTTTTCAGGCAAGGGACTGTGCTTATTATTTTTGGATTCCCTGGACAGATGATGCCCCACGGAATTTGCTGATTTATTCGTTACTTACTTCGTTACTTAAAAGACCCAAAGCAGCATAAAAAAATCAGTTTTATCTGTCAATATTTCTGAGATGAGGTATTATGTACACTATTTACATTATTCGAACTATTGTCATCAATTTTGTAGCTATGTTTATCACAATGTTTCGGCCGTTGTACGCTCCGGCTTTCTTCAAGTGGTTGGAATGTCGAACTGAACCCTTTATTTTGCTCACTGGGTTAGACTGTTCTACGTCAGACGGACATGCAACACTTCTGTATTCGTTCTTTTTGTTAATAATACGTTTTCACTGAATTACATCCGGGTCCAAATCACTGGATCTCATCCTCGTCGCCTGGTTTAATGTGGGTTTCTCCGAACCGTCAGGCTCGGCCGAAAAATATACCCTTTGAACCGGCCTTGACGGGTTCAGGGCCTGTCTACCTCCCCGGACGAAAGTTTGCCCTTCGGCAAAGCTTAGTCCAGGTTCCTCACTGGAAAAGCAGAGAGTTCGACAGAAGTCGTACACGTAGTCAACCGTAGTCAACTCGTTTTCAATATTTAACGATCCCCCCACGAGAAATGTATGTCGCACAAGGCAGTGTTTAATGTGGGTTTCTCCGAGCCCGTAGGCTCGGCCAAAAATATACCCTTTGAACCGGCCTAGACGGGTTCAGGGCCTGTCTACCTCCCCAGACGAAACTTTGCCCTTTGGGTTCCTCTCTGCCAAAGCAGAGAGTTCGACATAAGTATACTTAGTCAACCGTAGTCAACTCGTCCATCGTCTCCAGTCCTCTTGCGAGGCATAATATACTCATAAGACGAGTCTATTTTGTCCATGAAGGTAGGTCCCCTTAACAGCCTTAAAAATATCATCATCGGAGACATTCGATGTTACGGACAGGAAAACCAAAGCTGTTATTCACTTCTGTTCCATCAAGCTAAGAAAAAATATGATATTTCTTCTTTCTTCAATGATAATTATAATATTAGTTGTTTTCTTTGAAGAAAACTTTGGACAGTCATTAACAGATCAGTTAGTGTTACGGGTGAAATTTATAAAATTTGTTATTTTTTTAATTCCAAGTTGCGGTTTTTGATAGGGGCTTTCTTCCAAACATTTTGTTTGAAATATTGTGCAAGTCCACCATCTTCATTTTAGTCGTTGCTTCTTTTGAAAGTTCTCAAGCAATAGTGATTCGGTTATTTGGTACGATTCATTGTTTTTAATTCTGTAATATCACAACATAATTTTCAAAGAAATACAGACTTCATTATCTCGAAGACATTTTTAATCATTGATCAGTGAAGGTGTTTTCTTCAGCTGATAGTTTAAATATTTCTGAACGACTTTGGCACCAGGCATCACATGCATATGAAAGTCTCGTTGTGGCAAAATACATTATACAAGATTTTAGGTTGATGTTTTGGTTTTACGGGTGCGATATTGGGCAGAGCTCTCTTCAATGTCCAATATCCTTATCTCATTTATTATAAACTCTTTATAGACCGAGATTTTTAAAATGTTTATTACATATGAATTAGATATAATGAATTGTTTATGATGGATGAAGGGTAGATACCATCACTAGTTTTATTATAATTACAAATAAATGATTTATTCTTTTTAGAATTATATATATATATATATATATATATATATATATATATATATATATATATATATATATATATATATATATACATTAGAAATCTTTTGCAACATGCTGGCGCATGTTGAATTACTTACAGTATTAATATTTTTGAAGTTATTCTTAACATCTCGAGATTTACAAACCCATCGATGAAATTTGAATAAGTTGATGTGTTTGGAAAAAATTCTTTGAAAAATCCCTAATTCGTGACTTAATAATTCTTTTAATTTAATTTTACAAGAATTGATGGTAAACAATATTTTTAAGAAAATGTTTTGTAACCTTTTTAACAACAATGAATAAATTCTTAGGATTTCTAACTCTTAAGCATGCGTCAACATTTATTACGGGGGCTTACTTCCATCTTTTTCCAGCGTTTCACCTTGTTATTTGGTTATACATCTAGCCAAATCAGTGAGATCTTGAAAATGGATTTTGTTTATGTAAAATTTAAAGAAAAACATGCAAACAAATATATATATATATATATATATATATATATATATATATATATGCATTTTTATTAAATAATTATTTGTTACTTTAATCATTACACTGTTTTGAAAATAGTGGTAATATTTTTTAAGATAAATAATAAACTTTGATTTTTTTCAAACGAATTAATGAAAATATATTGTACTGCTCTACGCAACTGAGTAAATCTTTATTTTCCATCCCCTTCTCTGTTTTCACTTCTCCACAAATTTTGATTTCGTTCAATGTATGTCTGTTTTAAAGGGTCTGACGAACGGATTAAAAGATGATACAGAATATATATATATATATATATATATATATATATATATATATATATATACAGAAAGAGAGAGAGAGAGAGAGAGAAATATAGGCTTAAGATGCGCTCTATTTATGGAATAAAGTGCTCAATGTACGAGATATATATATATAGTCGACTCCCCATGAAACATTATTACCTGTAGAACAGCATTTCCGCCTGGAAAGACACGATTTCAAAACCCATGCCAAATTAATTTTCATTGAGAGAATGGAAAAGTTCAGAGCAGATAACGTTAGAAAGATTTTAGAATCCCATGAAAATAAGTGGATACAACGTCCAAAAACACACTATCCAGCCGGGCTAAACCATACATTTTACAATATAGATAGTACTAATATATGACTTTACAAATCAAAACCTACCCACATTTCTCACCCACACAAGACAGACATGCGTACGGAGGTGTTGAGGCCTCACACCTATGCACACACCCACATGAATATACACACTTACACACATCATACTCGCTCACTCCCTCCCTAATGATCCAAATGATAACACACACCCACAGCAATACACACGCTTACACGTATCATACTCACTCACTCCCTAAGAATAAAATAACACACACAAACACTTAACAGAGACATCCCCTCTCCAGGACCAATAAAACTGTCAAACTGACCAGGGGAATTCATAGAAGCATAGATCTGTCCAGTTCTTATCTTAAATAACAACTTAAAAGAGACTGTCTGACCCACACAAGTAATGTTAAAAGATTCATGTTAAAAAGATTAAAAAAATTAAAAAAAAAAACAAATGAAAACTACAGACAAAAGTTCATTTTCTCCATCAAGACATTTATTTCTGTAGTTTACTGCTACCAGCAAGCAGAAATATTTCTTCTCCCGATGATGACCATTTTGGCCGAAACTAGACGAGGAATCTAAATGAAATAATAATAAAAAAATCGAAAGAATATTAATCTACAATCCAATGTGTCTGAAGATTTTAATTTTTAATATTTTTTATTGTTCAATATATATATATATATATATATATATATATATATATATATATATATATATATATATATATAGTTTTATTTCTTGTAACACTTGATAGAATAATTTTATCAGATCACTCTTATTTCAAATACGGTACCTATGTATTCGACATATTATAAATCCTACATTGGCCTCGACATGGAAATCAAGAAGAGAGATTTCTATTAGCATATTCGTTTCGGATGGGCAATGGAATACTTAAATGATCGGTGGCCATCATTTCACATCAGTGCTTGTACATACACAACCAATAGTAAAGAAAAAGCGTTAAACATTTTGATGCTGTTATGCACACCTTAACATATTCCAGATAAAATTTGAAACTTTTCCCTATGAAGGTTCTTTGCCAGATATGTACGAATTAACTGATCGTCATGTATCATATATCAGATAAACATTGATGGAACCAGGGTTTTGTTGTCTCTACTGGATTGGTAATACACAGCTGTGTTGTTGACTTAGCTAATACACAATCTTCTATTGAAGACATTTAAGATTTCCCGTTGTTTTATAACATATATTTCATCATTACAACTCTTACCGTAATGAAATCAACATTGGACTGTGAGATCTTGATTTTTATAGAAAAGTAAAACCCTAACGAAATTGTAGCAATATGAGTCATCTGAGGTCTTGTTAAATTGAAAACAGCTGGACGTGTCGCAAATTGATACGGAACATTTATTTTCGACCGTTGGTTTTCAGTAAGTGAAGTCAACTTTAAAGTAGGGAGCAAGATGTTCAGAGTGAGAGAAATTCGTGGATGGAAGATTAATTACTTTTTTAGACGAAGATGACACGACAAAGAAAATTGTTACCTATAAAACTTACCATCCCGCGAAAAGTCACAAACCGAGGGACAAAACGGGCCTTGGAAAACAGACACGGAAGACAAGCGCTAAACTGTGCACCTCCGACTCACCCACGCCCCATCTCATCTCCGTTCGCTTATAGCAGTAAGTAATAATCCAAGAATAAAATCAAAAAAATGTTATGTTTTTCACTCGTGGCTAAGGATCTGTCCGACAGATTGCTTTTAAACCACAAACTTTTCCCTGGAAGAACCTGCATCCTGTCAACTAACATGTTGTCTGGTCTGAGCTGCAACACATCAAATTATATGCCATGTTTACTTAATCATGCAAAAGTTACAATTATTTATTATCCAGTGAGAACAGACTGTATAAATCACTATAAATGTTCAACTTGATTAGCTCTTTAACCATTACCCTAACACGAAACTCTTAACATATTTACAAAGAAAATATTGAAACAAGAGCACAAG